CCAAAAACAATGTAAAAAAACCACAAATATTCACAAAACAAGGCTCTGCTTCAAAATATGACACTGTATGTATCCCTCTATGCAACCTCTGTGGCTGCAAATGAAGACCACATGGAAACAACAAAAACTGCAGTTTTTTTGTTGTTCCTTGCCACTTAAATTTGGCTCCAGAGCAGTGAGTCAATCTCAATAAGGCTGTTAAAATGTTAAAATGCCCAACTTTACAGCAGAAATAAACATATTTACAGCCTGGTACAAAAACAGTTTATGTCTTTATAGCTAATTTTCCCATTCATGACAACTGTACAGGGATTCCTTTTTGTATACAACCCATTTAAACTTTATTAAGGCATGGCCACTTTGAGTGACAGGTGGCTGTTACCAGTAACCAGGCCACATATGGAGGTGGTGGGGTGGATGGATAGCAACAAACACAAGACTTTAATGCAGGAGACTGTTTGTGTCCATGTGAATTTCTTTTAAGCAATTTACATAAGTTAACTTACTGACTGATCTAAACAGTGGATGGTAAAAATGTAGCTTCAAACTGAATAAAAAGTCAGTGTATGACATCTTCTGGGACACAACCACAATGCTGACGCAGGCACAAAGAGGATATGATGCCATTGACAGGCAGCCGGTAAAATAAAAAAGACAGAACTCAACTACAAATAGAACATAGGTCTAGTGTTTATAGACATTTTAATAAGAAAATTGTTATTAGAAATGTCATAGAATATATCATATCTTTAAATTTGTTCCTAGTTTGTGAGTTAGTTCTGTCAATATTATTCTTTCCAGGGTTTCCGCCAAACACCAAACACAGAGCACAGAACAGAGTAAATAGTACATCTGCTTAGCTTTTGGGCTTCTTTGGGCATCAAGTATTTAGAATTTTTGGTGTCACAGAAGTATAAGGCACGCTAACACGATAACTGGGAGTTGTTGGTCTCTGTAAATAATGATTTGGCGCTATACAAATAAAAGTGAATTTAATTTAAATGTATTTTATTTTATTAGGTAGAAGTAAAGCAATATGTTTCATTTTACTACTAAAAGATTACTCTGTATGCTATATGAAGCTGATATTATATATAAAAGCTCTCTCTGTATTCTTTGGCATTGAGAATACCTATCATCTATGAAGACTCCATCCCCTGAGTAGAAACCCAGCCCATCAATGTGAATGCTGGGGCTGTGAGTGCCTTGGGCCCCCCAACCCTGATAGAAGAAGATCAGCATGTTGAACAGCGACAGGGACAAACTTAGTGGAAAATAATTGTACTCCTTGAGTATACTGGGCATGGCTGCATCACGTTCCGGCTGCAAAGCCTGTTTTAGACAACGCTTATGATTCTACCAGAACCGCCACAGCACGTTTCAAAAGCATCCCAGAATTGGCTCTCCACTATGCTCTGTGAAGAATAAACGACTGATCTATTTCGGAAGTTGCGTCAAGCAACACAGAAAGGAAAGGAAAGGAAAGGAAAGGAAAGGAAAAAAACAAACATTTTACTACGCAACCTTCTTATTTATAGTAGAAGCACAAAAATGTAAGGACAAAAATATAGAATCTACAATATCTGAGCATGTCAACAAAATCAGGCAGGCAAAACTCTGCTCTTCTGAAGCTCTACTAGTGTGGTATGAAGCCATTCGGAGGAGGCAATGTCACAGGGGGGTAACCTGCCAGTTTTTATTCCAACCAGACTCCACCCACTTATTTTTGCTGATAGAGTTTGTCAGTGAAATCACCTGCTGAGGTGATTGGTTGGAGTGAAACCCTGTAGACTGTCTGCTCTTTGTGGCACATGGGTGGCTGACTTGATCTAAAACATGCACCTGCTGGAAAGCAGGAGGATGCTGCAGGCTAAAGGCTGAGCTATTGGTAGTCTTCAACCTTTATCACAACATATTATATAACAGGGACCAGGCAATGTATCTTTCAAGACATATTCCAGCTTGCTCCCTGTAAGCAAAAGTGTTGCTTGTGTGTCATTAAAACATTTCTGTAAGGTTCTTCACATTTACAAAGAGTTTGACAGAGTGTGTTATATTGGGTAGTTTTCTTTTTATATTATATTAAGCTCTAAATGCGTGCTGCTTAAGGCACACTGTGTGATGGTGTATGGGTTAGGGGCATGCAATTGCAGTAAATGACAATCGGCATTCCCCTGTAGGGAATTCCCCATGTTTACGTTAATCCATCTACCAGATTTAAATAAATTACTTAATCTTTTATTTTCAAGCTGACAGTCATTCAGTAGTGAACCACTGAAAGGACAATAGAAAGCATGGGAATGGATGCCAAAAGAAAACTGTCAGTGGGCAATATGCTGGGTCCAATAAATAAGAAATGCTGCAGTTGTTGCCAAACCTGTCTGCACCAAGAGTGGCAGCAGTCCTCTAACAAGCCAAACAGGTGTTTCAGTTTCTACACTTTTTTCAATTTCATTTGTCATTTGATTTTATTGTTTTGATTATTGTTTCACATAAGATTTAGCAAAAATCGAAACCAATAAACTTCAAACCCTGACAGTGGACAAAACAAAATATTGTGTTACTGTTGAAATGAAACTGACAAATAATATTTGTCTTTTCAAATAATTTATCCCAATTATTCATAAATTAGTTACTGAAGGAGTATTTTGTGATGTTGTATTCTTCATTATTATATTACAATATGAATACTGTTATGATGATATTGATTCGCCCTAATGCTTTTTTAACTACTAAAGAGAGAAAAAAAAAACACATGTTTGTTAACCCTGTCTCTCACAATATTACATTTTAACTACACTAGTGTGGCCAAGAGGATTCACAGTTATGATATTATCTACAGAAAGCAGCCCATTAACAGCAGTTCGTGCAGCATGTTTCACCAATATGTATAAAAATCAGTGCAAATGTATCATGTCCAGCCTCTTGGAACCATACCCCAAACCCAACAGGAAGATGGCTATTTGTAATTTAGTGCAATCTGACCTTTTCAATTTAAAGTTATCAAAAATGTTCTGTTTTCATCGAAGGGCCTGTCTGTGGTGTGGCGCCAAATTTTGACATTTCACCATGGAACAGGAAGTTGAACTTGTGTACTAACTTCATGTTTGATAAGAGTCCCACCCTGAACACTTCTTCAGTCATAGTCATAGTGCCACCTACTGGCAACAGGAAGGAAGCCTTGTGAGGCAATCGCCATTGAATTTAAATGAAATTTTTACAGTATTTTTTGTCTGTCGGCCTCTGTCTAATGAACTTCACTTCCCCTGTTCTGTTCACTCCACACCTTGTGTTACAAAGGCTTTACATCTGTACATATTGAAACTTGAGACCATCGTTATGAAAACCTTGATGTTACCAATTAAACAAAACACAATTTTATGGGCATGCACAAAGTTTTCATTTAGCAGCTTTACAAATGACAGCATCCTTCAGACCTCAACATCCCCACCACCATCCTATAATTAGCTACATAACATTGGATTCTCATGCAGCTGTTACTGTGTGCTCCAAACTCTGCTTTACTGTTTCAGCAAACAGCACAACCTCAGTTTCAACCTAGTAATGAATGGCTCTGTAGCCCCGGGCTGTGCAGCAAAAGCTAATGTTATGCTAGAAAGCCATAGCGTCCCCAATGCTAAATATGAATCTCAAACTGTGAGTATGATCAGGCAATGTGTTTCTTGTTCATTTCTTTTCTCCCTAAGGCAACATCATTATTGTCCCCAAGAGCACACTATTCTTTCATTTATAGGGTCTGTTTTAGCTTAAACATGCTGCTCTCCAATCAGAATCCCCTGAGCCCTACATTATTAAAATACCTCAACCAATACAATAATAAACACACTTATTAAACCAGAGGAATATGCATTTGTTGTTTACACAAGGCCTTATTTTTTTATTAATATAACATGTACAATAAACATCTCAACATCCATTGTCCAAACTGTAGTGCAGTGCATGACATGGATTAAATATGTACACACACACCAGCCAACATGTATGTGGGCCCCACATGGGTTATGCTGGGCTACATGGGTACCAAGTGGGTATGGGCCAAAATGGGCATCTTAAACTGGGGCCCACCTGGGTAGGTGAACTCATATAGGCTCCCTTTGTGGGTCCTATTTAGGTCACTAATGGGAAATCAGAGTGTGGGTTCAGAGTGGACAACACAAATGGTGTCCATTGGGTTACCAAATACCCACCTAACACCCAGTGCAATCCCATATAAGGCCCATTTTTCAGCCCATCTTATACCCACATGGGGCCCACATAAAGATGTTGGCTGGGACACGGTAAAAAGTATTGTTTGTGGAAGTTTAAAACAAAAGTATCGTCTGTCATGATACACTACTGTTAATGCAATATGTATCTAACAAATGTTGTTAATTAACATTTGTGGGAAGTTGAAAAAATGTTTATACTAGACATAGCAGTGAAATGTTCACTGACATAATTGCTTAAAATGACTAAAGAAATAATAATCACATGAATATTTTCATTACCTTAGAATGAACCTTTTATACTGTATCTACAAGCGTCGCAGGCCGCCTTCCATGGAGTCTGCCATGATTAACCACCATGTTTCTACAGAACGGACAAACATTGGCTGTAGATAGGGCCTTTTGCCTTTTCTGTGAATTCCGCAGCCACCATAGTTTCTCCTATACTCTTCACAGCCTGTTCTCATCACATACACAAGCAGTGTTCAGTCTGTTGCAATCTGCATCTTCACAACTAGATGCCACTAAATCCTACACTCTGGACTTTTAAATCATGTTAATTAGTCTTTTTCCAAATATATGCCTACACCTGATTAACACTTATTTGGCCACATTTGTGATTATTTGGTTACAAGTAGCTAACAGTAAAGTTTCACATAGTTTCTTTATTACTGAACACTTCTTTTCATACTGCACTGCCATACAGTACAACAACAGTGTGCTAATTACTGCCAGGTTCCCCTCTGGACCAGTTTAATAGCTGACTGTGGAACAGTTTGACTTTTGCTCAGTGCGGGAATCCAACCTCTGTCACAGCCTTAAAATTCTTGTTACAAATAATATCTGCACTATTTTCTCACATTAAAGATCATTTGTCGTGGCTTAAGAAACACGATCAGACAGCAGCTCGGCAGCCTATTACTACACTATAGTGTTTCCGGAGACAGCCGAATGCGGCCGATTGCCCCCGAAGGTGTATATGGACGAAGTGCTGTGGATGTTGCGCCTTCAGTGAGGAGCCACCGCGGACGGGCAGGCAGCAGGCGGATACCACTGGCTTACCGGGAGCACTACACCGACACTGACAGACTCAAAGTCCACTGTCCCAGCAGCCGAGCGGAGGATTTACCCGACACTCCTCACGGTGCTTTTACGGACCCTTTTTCCAACCTCGGGGAGATTAGAGCAAGTGTTGCTGGACTGGAGGAATTGCGAGATTCTTTTGTAAACTGTCTGATCTGGGGACCTCCCTGCTCTTCTTGTCTTCAACCTTCTTTTCCGAAATGCAAACGCCCAGGAAAACCTAGAAAATGGTGAGTTAGTAGCCTATATGTTTATTTTTATTCTTCTTCTGTTTTGCGTTGGGTGTGAGGGATGTGCAGTCAGAGGAGCGTCCTGCAGACTGGACACGCTGCGTGCCAAGGCTGTATCACACATTCACAGAAGTCCGTAAACACTCACTTGCATCTGACATTGCAGCCTCCACTGACAGAACATGACACCCGAAGCTGCTCATGATCTATACAGTGGATACAAAATGACACCCTGTCTCACGGATAACGATATTATAGCTTATCTGCATTTAAGACTATCCACAGTTTGCCTTATAAACAGGGGCGGATATAGAGAAATAGTCATGGGGTGGCCAAAAGGTGACTTTGAGGGGTGGCAGCAATTGCTTGGAAAAGCCCCCAAAAGAAGATATTTGAGCTCAAAAACATTACATCATTGTGGCACATTATTAAAGCATTGAATAGAAAAATCTAAAGGTGGCATTAGAAATGAATAAACTGTTTTCTTTACAACTCTTTTTACAAATACATGTCTTTTTTTCGTTAATTCAACATGTGACCATAACAGATCATTAAATTAATTTCCGTTTTTTAACACTTATCTGTAAAAAATGAGTTACATTTGACTGCATTTGACACCAAACTGGGGTGGCCAGGCATTGTTTAGATGCGCCCCTGCTTTTAATCCTAAATAAGAAAGAGATTGTTAAAAAGGCTGTGTTATCGGTTTATTATTAAGCTGAAAAAAAGTGTCTTTCACAGGCCGATGTAAAGTCACAATGAGTCAGAAAGCAGCTCAGGGTCACAGGTTGTGTTTTTAATTCTGCGCCTCTGTGAAGATTTATTAACCCGAAGGATTTTAAAAGCAGTTTGGTTCCCTCCGTGCAAGACATTGTGTTGTGTATCGAAAATCAAAGCCCCACGTCCTTTCACATGAAATGGCATTTCTGGATCAAAGCTGTGCAAGACAGCGTCACTTGCTTCATTTATTAGTTTATTACTTGCCTTTGATAAGTGTCAGCTTTCTGTTCACTCTCACCGCAGTAGCCTATATTGGCACAATAATCCACTGTGTGCATTCACTGTTCAAAGAATCCATAGAAAAATGCGCTTTGCTGGTTTGATGCATTTATTAAAACTTAAATGCGCCTGTGACCATTTGGGAAAATAGTGCGACTATTGTGCAGTGCTTAGAATGTAAGCCTCCAGTATCAAACATATAAAACATTATATGTCTAGAATGCACGACTTGTGTGTTCAGTAGTCTATATGGGGTGCTGTCATGAAAAATGTAGGTGTCTATGCTGCACAAAGGTTTCAGTATTCTAGTCTGAACTCAGATTTAGTCTCAGCTCTGTGTGGCAGTCCATGTGTTTGTTTATTATTAGCCAGTTATATATTGCATGACTAACTACTCAGTGCTTCATTCTTTTGGCAGTTTTCTAAAGCAAGAATAGCAAGCCGTCCTGCTCTGGGTGCAAAAGATCCAAACGCTTCAATGCTAAATAAGGAAGGGGAAGAAGAGTGCATGACTTTGTGTGACACCTGGATTTGACAGAGCCCTAATTTGGCTGGATGGAGAATAGAGAAGGAGGTGAGATGGGCATAGTGAAGAAGTGCAACAGATGGAGCTGGAGATGGAGATGAGGTGGAGTCATGGAAAGACAGAGAGGAGGTGGAGGGAGTGTGTCGTTCATCCACCTTGATAAGTGGATCAGCTGAATGCCAGGGCTGTGAATGTCTGATGGAAATACACAGTGTGTGTGTGTGTCTTCTCATCCTAATGAAGGCTGAATGAGACTCAGACTTGAATGCTGAATGCATCACTGCCACACACACACACGCACACACACACACACACATACACACACGCTGCTCCTCCCTGGCAGTCAACAGTATTTTGACAAGGCACTTTCATTTAGATCGACACAGCGATATTCACCAACAACTATCAGTCACAGCACAACATATTCTGGCATTATATAAAAGAGTAAGATTACTGACAACTGTTCGTAGGACTCATTCTTCATAGAAAGGAGTTTGGATGAAAACTGTTCATGGTGCTACAACTGGGTAGTTGATTTTTGGTCTCCTAAATACCCTTACCTTAATAATAATAATGATAATAATGACTTTTATGACCTTTTAAACACAGGGTTTACAAAGTGAAAAATGTAATGTAATTTGTGTGTGGGAATGATTATTTTCAGTCATGATGATGTGACATTTGTTGAGGTTTGTACCAAACAAAAATATGATTGTCTTACACATGGAGAACAAAATTCAAAATACAATACTTCATTATAATGCTGTTTGTCATATATTTTACCTTTACCAAACAAACTGCAGCTTCTGTGATGTGCATATTGCACATGGCCATATTGCTATTTCGCTAATATTTCAAGTTCAGCTGTGATGTTTTCAGTGTGTGGGTCCAAGATCGAGCCTTAACATCCATCACATCAGCATGTACACATAAAATATTAAACATACAAATCTGAGATGTCATAGTGCCAAATATATCAGCCCCTACAATGATAGGGATACAATATTAATAATAATAATAATAATAATAATAATAATAATAATAATAATAATAATAAACAATAATATGATAAAGTTTTCACCACACCAATGAGGATAGGGAGTTAGAATGGTTTATTGCTCATAATGCATAAAGGTGAACCCATATAATAAACTGTAGAAGGGATAAAGGGATGGGGGGAGAAATCAGGTTTGTGGATGGATAGATGGATTGGTGGAGGAGTTTGGGCGAACAGATGGGAGGGAACAGTGTGGGTGTTCTACTTGGGCTCTCAGTTAGCTCTCTCAGTTAGCTCTCAAGAACTACTTGGGCTCTCAGTTAGAGCCCAAGTAGTTCCTGTATTTGAATAAGAGAGAGAGAAGGGGTGAAAAAGGGGGGGTTTACTGATCAGTTAAATGGAGTGAAGCCTGCGAGCTAGTTCAGGCAGTCAACTCGAGCTGCGCTGTTATACACATGGCTCACTCCATAACCACTAACCAAGCGCTCCCTTCCAATCTGGCGGTCTATTTAAACTGCACAATTTCCCAGCTCTCCCTCTGCTCTGTCAATGCAGCTGTTGCATCCGTATTGTTGCTGCTGCTCTGTAAGTTATTGCTGCCTGCTGCACTGTAAGCCCCACCACCACCCGAACATCCACCTGTAGGCTCTGGGCTAGGGGTTAAGGTATTTGCTCATCCCGCCCCAATATCTCTATGAAAACATATCTGTGGGGGATGATGAGGTCGGAGCCTAGACGCCAAAATCTAAATATGCTATACTGCTGTAATAAACATTTCAAACGTGAGTTGGCTGACTGTACTGATTTAAAGGGAGTGAACGGATAAGGTGTGCTTAAGTACTTTTAGTGTGGAAATGAGATGAATTCGAGGCGGGGTCTTTGTCACTGAACCTCTTTATAAAATTTAATTTAAAAACATGAGCAAACATTGTTACACATGAGTAACGTACTAAATAATAATCATTTAACAGTATTGGAACAGGACAGTATCCCTAGGAGTTCAGTGTTGTTGTCTGGCAGTAGATTGTGTGTGGGAAACGTGGTAAACAAACTCTTAATGCAAATTAGTTACATATTTTCATTTGTTTTTGTTAAATAGTGCATGGTCAGCAACATAAAAAGCTTTTATCCATTTGTTTTACATTTATGTTCCAACTGTGAAGCAAATTCACTGCATTTTATTATTTTAAAAAGAAGGACTTGGATCTATGTTATATGAACTTTGATGAATTTATGTCTGAATTTAATTTTTGTACAGAAATATTGATGTTTTACATCAAATGAAATCCAGATGTGGTGCAGCTGCTGGTTCCTTTTTTAATCCACTTCAAGCTTAGGTCTGCAGTGTGGTCTGTGGATTGTCCAAAAATGCTGTTACTTTGTGTGGGACATATTGCAGATGTTGTTGTGTAGTCATTTCTCAATGCTGTGAGAACCACAAACAAAAATCCATCCACCACCATCGTACCGGGGGAGACGGAAATCTTAAAACCTGGACACATGAATACGAGAACAATGTGCATTCCTACCCCGACACCACTACATACTGTAGAGTAATTAGATATAGATGATATTAGAATATATGTTTTTTATTTATTTGGATGAGGTAACCGCTAATTATGGTAAATTAAATGTGCAAATAGTAGTAAATAGGAATTACTTTTCCTTCACACCTCAGAATCCTATCAGTAATATGTGGCGTGATTATTTTCCGTTTGCAGAAGCAGACGTGTTTGATACACTGTAAAACAGATGAGATAGTCCAGTTAAGTTAGTTTATACAAATGTTACCACCAATTATCAAAGTGTAATTTTCTGTGTTTTTATGTGACAAACATCAAATCTTTGCACTTTGCGGGATTATCTCTTATTTGAATGCATATTTGGGCTTATGATGATTAATAAACTGAATCTAAAAACTGATGAATAATGAAAAATGACATACATAAAAATGATTAAAAATGATATATATAATATTTAAAACTCCTTAAAATAAGTCAGTGGAACAAACTGGAATCATTTTGCCTAAAATACTGCACAGATTTAACACAGATTGAGTTGCTTCAACAATTCTGTTTTTTCTGAGTTGGGTTTAATTTATATGAATAAGTGAATATGATTGATTTGTTGATTGGTTGATTTATGTTAACTTACTTGTTTTATTACGATGTGTTGTCAGGTTTTACAGTGATAATTTAAGGACTGGAGGTATTTGAGTGAGTCTGACTGCCACCTCCCCTTGCTCTTTGTGTTGATCGCAGTTCTATCTCAGGTCCTGGATGCTGCTATCACAGCTGTATGTGGGCTGGCTTCTCTCCATCTCTGCTCGCACTCAGCCGTCCTCTGCACATTGATAAATTGTGTGTAATTTCAGGGATGAACAAGCATGAAAACATATGGGTGGAGAGGGCTGCTATATTTTGGCATTCTGTGTATACAGCATTTTGATCCAGGTTAGAGTCTGCGTGTTGAGACGACTGCAGAACCCAGCAGGCTGGAACTGGTCCCGTGCTCAGATGGTTCTACACAGGAACTTCATGGTTCTAAAAATAGCCCTTTAAGAAGGTTTCTGTAGGATCATGTAGATGGTGGCTACTTTACTGGGATTTTGAGGCCAAATGTTGAGAGTTATAAAAACAATATATAACAATATAATATAACAATAATATAAGAATATATTATCAATGCTCTTCTTTTGTTATGTCAACAGACAACCTAAACCAGTCGTGTGGGTTTGTGAGATGGTGTCTCACTTTGTGAACTAAAATCCTGCAGTGTTGAATGAATTCTTAAAGGGTGTTTTTACTCTCGGGAACGGGGGCCTGAACCCAACATCATCTTGGGATGTGTTTAGCATCTGCACTCACACATAATAATTCCTGTACATCATTCCTCAGCAGAAACATGCGTTTCTTGCATCATTTTCTCTTGTAAACATGAAAGAGAACAGATGCTTGACGCTCTGTTTTTTTTTATCTGGTGCCACAGTTGTTTTTACAATGAGATCAGATTACAGCAGGTTGCGCTTCCTCCTGCAGCACCTTCAAAGAAAAGCACATTTTCTAATCAGAAGTTTTGTAACAACACAGAAAACTGCTATCATCCTATCTCATCTTACGTATACACTAGGGTACTTTCTGGGTGGTTTCTTCTGCAAACAACTACACACAGATTGGTTGTAATATGATTTGCTACGCAAATGAGATCTCTTGAGACCCTCGGGAGGTACTATACGTAGGTATGGTGAATAATTCAGAAATTAAGTTTGTTAATTAAGTGAATTAATCAACAAAATGAATCATTTTGTAATCGATTGTTTAGGTCATTCATCAAGCAAAACATTCTGCATCTCTCTTGTCTATGATTTATATCATTGTAAAGTTAATATCACTGGACTTTGGACAGCCCAGTATCATAGCAGTTATGTTCATAATGGGCTTTTCATTGATACTGATATTGATACGGTTAATGCTTATCAATACCAATACTTCTCAAGACTCTTATTGATACTACTATTTGGTGGGAAAATTAAGATTTTATTTCTGCATAGAAATAATAATAATATAGGTGTTGAATCTTTCCACATCTTTTCATGTCATGTCTTTAAATTGTTTCCTGACTTTTTGCATTTAGCGAATTTAGTAGAGGCACAAATACCGTAAGGAGTATTGTTTATCCAGGAACTAATTGATACTTCAGAGTTGATCAGGTAGGAACCAGTACCAGTTTAGCGCTAGTTCTCGATTCTCTATCGGTTGCAGCCCTAATAGAGACTATGGATGTATAAGACCTCACTGGGCAATGGTGGCCCTAAGGTTGGAGAAGCAGGCTTGTCACTGGTTTGATCTCTGGTTTGAAAGTCAAGGAACTAGTTCTTGCTACTTCTTTATTACCACCACTGAGGTGCCCTTAACCCCCAACTGCTCTAGTGTGTCCCAGCAGATTACACTGTGGTTGTACTGTGCCGCTGTTGTGGGAGTATGAGCCTAAAGAAGCAAGCTCTGTTCAGATAAAGGTTAAAAAAGACGGATAATGTGTTTACTGGTTATATTGTCAGGCTGTGTCTCTGCAGAGCGGGGGACTGATTTGATAGCATTGTTTCCTGTGGACATGATTGGCTGGGAGTGTTCAGTTTGTCTCCTGCATGTCGTGGTATTGTTCCTGGGCTGATTGACCTATCCACAGAACAGTCCAGCTCGGCTCCTTTCATTCCCACAATGGAACGGGACCATAATAGCCAGGTTTTTCACTGAGACTCTATTGTTTGCTGTTCACCCAACGTGTGCTGGCAGTGGTGTTGTTTCATCTCACTTCAGAGCAAGGGCAAGATCTTATCAGCACTGACAGACCTGTGATTTCCCCACTGTGACACAGGATGGTGGCTGTGCAGGTTTTGATAGTGTCCTGCTTGCATATTGCACAGTAATATTGCATACTGTGTGACACAACCTACAGAGGGACTGCCCTGGGTAATACTAGAGCTGCAACGATTAATCGATTAATCAATCAGTTATCAACTTTTAAATTAATCTGCAACTATTTTGATAACTGATTGTTAATCATTTTGGGTCATTTATTGATTTCAGCTTCTCAGATGTGAATTTTTTTCTGCTTTCTTTAGTCCTCTGTGACAGTAAACTGAATATCTTATGCCACCTTGGGAAAGGATTCATATTTTTGTAAATTTCTGACATTTTATGGACCAAACAACTAATTGATTAATCAAGAACAGAAAATTAATTGTTAGTTGGAGCCCTGTTTTAATATTCCATGTTTTTTTCTTTAAAACAGGAGATTTTGCATCAAATTAGAAGAGGCTCAGTTTAAAACAAATTTGGTTTGCCGTGTGCAGTGAGAAAACTAATGACAAAATTGTGCCATAATAGTTCATTAGGCCATATTGCACATTTTAAAAATATAAAAAAATGCCTTGTTAAAGGCAGCTAAAGACAATAATGTTACATTGTTTTTTAAATAGAAAGAAATGCCAATGAATTGATTAGCCAATCAACAGAAAACTGACTGGAAACTATCTTAATCAATTAATTGATAAAGTAATTTTTCAAGCAAAAATGCTGAAAAACGTCTGACTCCAGCCTTTCTGCATTTTTTTTGCAAATTGTTCCCTCTTTTTACAGACTTACTCCCAACCAGGGGTATTTGTATCCCAGGGGGTGCTTCTGCTGTTGCCAGGGGATACGTGAATAGATCGTATAGAGTACCTCAACTAATTTGAAAAAATGTAATTAAACATTTGGTTAAAAACATATATTCACACATTGAGTGAGCTATAACAATTAATTTAGGTGTTATTGCAATTAAAAGTGCATGAAAAAGTTAGCAAGAGAACAGAGGAGATTAAATAGTAATGGATAAATGATTTGAATGTCCAGCTTTTGCCATTCAATGTGTGTGACCAGACCAGAAGTTCAGTTGTATGAAACTATTGTAACATCCACTATTATATCAATTTTTATATGATTAATAGTTAAATAACATCCAGTTTGAAATTAATTCAAATGAGTTCATCTGACTGAGCTGTGAGGGTACGTCTTACAAAAAGGTTGGGAACCACTGCACAAAGCGATCAATCGATTAATTGAAAAAACTGCTTGAAGATTAATTGATAATTAAATTAATTGTTAGTTGCAGCCGTAGAAAGTTTATGTACCAAGGCTGGATTTTCAGTTAACTGAGTAATTACAAATGTGAAATTTTGAAGGAGCTTTATATAGAACTTTGATGTTCCCGTTAGCTCCTTATAGCCTACTTGTACTACTACTTTT